AATAGTCCTTTTGGAATAGTGTGTTGTCTCAGCCACTATGTTTTCTGCCTTTGTTACCCCAGCACCCTTCCATAGCTCAGTTGGTAGAGCGTAGGACTTTAGGCTGTGATCCTTGGGTTGCTGGTTCAACTCCCGCTCCAAACCTTGTCTTCATCTGTCAACTCCATCACTCAAACTGTACAAACAACATTTTCTCCTCCTTTATGTTCCAACCACAAGTTGTTATTTTTTTCAACCAGCCTAAAAGTCCTGATTATCAGTTCAGGATCTCTGGCAATGCCTGTTGGGTCCAAACTACTGAGCTTTTTTCTGCAGGAAGGGCTGGGCTTATGATTGACTATTGGGATGAATAGTCCTTTTGGAATAGTGTGTTGTCTCAGCCACTATGTTTTCTGCCTTTGTTCCCCCAGCACCCTTCGATAGCTCAGTTGGTAGAGCGGAGGACTGTAGGCTGTGATCCTTGGGTTGCTGGTTCAACTCCCGCTCCAAACCTTGTCTTCATCTGTCAACTCAAACTGTACAAACAACATTTTCTCCTCCTTTATGTTCCAACCACAAGTTGTTATTTTTTTCAACCAGCCTAAAAGTCCTGATTATCAGTTCAGGATCTCTGGCAATGCCTGTTGGGTCCAAACTACTGAGCTTTTTTCTGCAGGAAGGGCTGGGCTTATGATTGACTATTGGGATGAATAGTCCTTTTGGAATAGTGTGTTGTCTCAGCCACTATGTTTTCTGCCTTTGTTCCCCCAGCACCCTTCGATAGCTGAGTTGGTAGAGCGTAGGACTGTAGGCTGTGATCCTTGGGTTGCTGGTTCAACTCCCGGTCCAAACCTTGTCTTCATCTGTCAACTCCATCACTCAAACTGTACAAACAACATTTTCTCCTCCTTTATGTTCCAACCACAAGTTGTTATTTTTTTCAACCAGCCTAAAAGTCCTGATTATCAGTTCAGGATCTCTGGCAATGCCTGTTGGGTCCAAACTACTGAGCTTTTTTCTGCAGGAAGGGCTGGGCTTATGATTGACTATTGGGATGAATAGTCCTTTTGGAATAGTGTGTTGTCTCAGCCACTATGTTTTCTGCCTTTGTTCCCCCAGCACCCTTCGATAGCTCAGTTGGTAGAGCGTAGGACTGAAGGCTGTGATCCTTGGGTTGCTGGTTCAACTCCCGCTCCAAACCTTGTCTTCATCTGTCAACTCAAACTGTACAAACAACATTTTCTCCTCCTTTATGTTCCAACCACAAGTTGTTATTTTTTTCAACCAGCCTAAAAGTCCTGATTATCAGTTCAGGATCTCTGGCAATGCCTGTTGGGTCCAAACTACTGAGCTTTTTTCTGCAGGAAGGGCTGGGCTTATGATTGACTATTGGGATGAATAGTCCTTTTGGAATAGTGTGTTGTCTCAGACACTATGTTTTCTTACTTTTTTCCCCCAGCACCCTTCGATAGCTCAGTTGGTAGAGCGCAGGACTTTAGGCTGTGATCCTTGGGTTGCTGGTTCAACTCCCGCTCCAAACCTTGTCTTCATCTGTCAACTCCATCACTCAAAATGTACAAACAACATTTTCTCCTCCTTTATGTTCCAACCACAAGTTGTTATTTTTTTCAACCAGCCTAAAAGTCCTGATTATCAGTTCAGGATCTCTGGCAATGCCTGTTGGGTCCAAACTACTGAGCTTTTTTCTGCAGGAAGGGCTGGGCTTATGATTGACTATTGGGATGAATAGTCCTTTTGGCATAGTGTGTTGTCTCAGCCACTATGTTTTCTGCCTTTGTTCCCCCAGCAACCTTCGATAGCTCAGTTGGTAGAGCGGACGACTGCAGGCTGTGATCCTTGGGTTGCTGGTTCAACTCCCACTCCAAACCTTGTCTTCATCTGTCAACTCAAAATGTACAAACAACATTTTCTCCTCCTTTATGTTCCAACCACAAGTTGTTATTTTTTTCAACCAGCCTAAAAGTCCTGATTATCAGTTCAGGATCTCTGGCAATGCCTGTTGGGTCCAAACTACTGAGCTTTTTTCTGCAGGAAGGGCTGGGCTTATGATTGACTATTGGGATGAATAGTCCTTTTGGAATAGTGTGTTGTCTCAGCCACTATGTTTTCTGCCTTTGTTACCCCAGCACCCTTCCATAGCTCAGTTGGTACAGCGGAGGGCTTTAGGCTGTGATCCTTGCGTTGCTGGTTCAACTCCCGCTCCAAACCTTGTCTTCATCTGTCAACTCCATCACTCAAACTGTACAAACAACATTTTCTCCTCTATGTTCCAACCACAAGTTGTTATTTTTTTCAACCAGCCTAAAAGTCCTGATTATCAGTTCAGGATCTCTGGCAATGCCTGTTGGGTCCAAACTACTGAGCTTTTTTCTGCAGGAAGGGCTGGGCTTATGATTGACTATTGGGATGAATAGTCCTTTTGGAATAGTGTGTTGTCTCAGCCACTATGTTTTCTGCCTTTGTTCCCGCAGCACCCTTCGATAGCTCAGTTGGTAGAGCACAGGACTTTAGGCTGTGATCCTTGGGTTGCTGGATCAACTCCCGCTCCAAACCTTCTCTTCATCTGTCAACTCCATCACTCAAAATGTACAAACAATATTTTCTCCTCCTTTATGTTCCAACCACAAGTTGTTATTTTTTTCAACCAGCCTAAAAGTCCTGATTATCAGTTCAGGATCTCTGGCAATGCCTGTTGGGTCCAAACTACTGAGCTTTTTTCTGCAGGAAGGGCTGGGCTTATGATTGACTATTGGGATGAATAGTCCTTTTGGCATAGTGTGTTGTCTCAGCCACTATGTTTTCTGCCTTTGTTCCCCCAGCAACCTTCGATAGCTCAGTTGGTAGAGCGGACGACTGCAGGCTGTGATCCTTGGGTTGCTGGTTCAACTCCCACTCCAAACCTTGTCTTCATCTGTCAACTCAAAATGTACAAACAACATTTTCTCCTCCTTTATGTTCCAACCACAAGTTGTTATTTTTTTCAACCAGCCTAAAAGTCCTGATTATCAGTTCAGGATCTCTGGCAATGCCTGTTGGGTCCAAACTACTGAGCTTTTTTCTGCAGGAAGGGCTGGGCTTATGATTGACTATTGGGATGAATAGTCCTTTTGGAATAGTGTGTTGTCTCAGCCACTATGTTTTCTGCCTTTGTTACCCCAGCACCCTTCCATAGCTCAGTTGGTACAGCGGAGGGCTTTAGGCTGTGATCCTTGCGTTGCTGGTTCAACTCCCGCTCCAAACCTTGTCTTCATCTGTCAACTCCATCACTCAAACTGTACAAACAACATTTTCTCCTCTATGTTCCAACCACAAGTTGTTATTTTTTTCAACCAGCCTAAAAGTCCTGATTATCAGTTCAGGATCTCTGGCAATGCCTGTTGGGTCCAAACTACTGAGCTTTTTTCTGCAGGAAGGGCTGGGCTTATGATTGACTATTGGGATGAATAGTCCTTTTGGAATAGTGTGTTGTCTCAGCCACTATGTTTTCTGCCTTTGTTCCCGCAGCACCCTTCGATAGCTCAGTTGGTAGAGCACAGGACTTTAGGCTGTGATCCTTGGGTTGCTGGATCAACTCCCGCTCCAAACCTTCTCTTCATCTGTCAACTCCATCACTCAAAATGTACAAACAACATTTTCTCCTCCTTTATGTTCCAACCACAAGTTGTTATTTTTTTCAACCAGCCTAAAAGTCCTGATTATCAGTTCAGGATCTCTGGCAATGCCTGTTGGGTCCAAACTACTGAGCTTTTTTCTGCAGGAAGGGCTGGGCTTATGATTGACTATTGGGATGAATAGTCCTTTTGGAATAGTGTGTTGTCTCAGCGACTATGTTTTCTGCCTTTCTTCCCCCAGCACCCCTGATAGCTCAGTTGGTAGAGCGCAGGACTTTATGCTGTGATCCTTGGGTTGCTGGTTCAACTCCCGCTCCAAACCTTGTCTTCATCTGTCAACTCCATCACTCAAAATGTACAAACAACATTTTCTCCTCCTTAAAAAAGGCATATTTAAGCAGAAAAAAAATCACATTTTAGTATGAAGAAAAAAAACGTCATAGTATAGTATGACCAAAATTTCAGATTTTAGGGTAAAAAAAAATATTTAGATTTTAGGATGAAATAACATTCCAAAGTATTGTCTGATCAAAATGCCATAGTCAAGGATGTTAAAAAAGGCATATTTTAGCAGAAAAAAAAATCACATTTTAGTATGAAGAAAAAAAACGTCATAGTATAGTATGACCAAAATTTCAGATTTTAGGGTAAAAAAAAATATTTAGATTTTAGGATGAAATAACATTCCATAGTATTGTCTGATCAAAATGCCACAGTCAAGGATGTTAAAAAAGGCATATTTTAGCAGAAAAAAAAAAAATCCTTTTTTAGTATGAAGAAAAAAAAACGTCATAGTATAGTATGACCAAAATTTCAGATTTTAGGGTAAAAAAAAATATTCAGATTTTAGGATGAAATAACATTCCATAGTATTGTCTGATCAAAATGCCATAGTCAAGGATGTTAAAAATATCATATTTTAGCAGAAAAAAAAAAAATCATATTTCAGTCCAAAAAAAAAAAAACGTCATAGTATAGTGTGACCAAAATTTCAGATTTTAGGGAAAAAAAATTATCAGATTTTAGGATGAAATAACATTCCAAAGTATTGTCTGATCAAAATGCCATTGTCAAGGATGATAGATGAGATAACATGTTGGTTCACCTTGAGAACTCATAATTAAAATTTAGAAATTATCTATATTGCAGATGGTAATTCTACAATTTAGACTCGATTAACCTTAGAGCAGCTTTAACCATCAAAGAACATTTCAACAAGTCAACTAAAACCATCTCTAACAGCTCTGACATAAATCCTCACATACCAGTTTTGACTTTGTACTCTGAAAGACGCCTCCCCGCCATCGATAAAACCCCGCTGGACCAAACGCCACAGCAGACATCAATAGCCCCTGTGAGCAAGTCTTGCACTGACAGAGCCCTTCTGTTCTAAAAAGTCTCCCTTAGCGCGGACACCGAGGAAAAGGAGCAGCGCCAGAGCAGCTGGGCTCGCTCAGGAGAATCAGAGCTTGTGGAGAAGCTGGCAGGCAAGCATGGAGGAGACGTATCGGGTAATTGGAGCGCAGTGATATCCGCCATCTTGGCTCGTTACCTAAATAACAGCTTTGATTGAGGTGAATAGGCCCATAAAGGGGGTTGTGGTGGAGCCGATAAGCTCCAGTGTGGCTTGGATGGGGTTGTGATTCTCTTGGCGTTGATGAGGACCCTTCTTGGCTTCCTGCAGCTGAGACCTCGATTGAGGCGAGACGGGCACCTGGGATTCCAGATGTCTTGGGTTTGAATCTATGGCGGCATACCTCAGCTGGCATTAGTACCCATGGTGACATTCATCCTTCAGTCTGGGATGACGGGAGGAAGCCGCAGCGTCGAGCCAGCTTCCTATCATCCCACACATATCTGTCTGAGTGAGCGCTGCAGGAAGTTTAGCTTTGTACTGTCTGTGATGAAGAAAAACAGAGTTTTAGAGTTTTGTTGTGCCGTCTAAAAAGTTTAAAAGTAAAAAAGACATCAACAGATGCTAATGTAATGAGTGTGGAAAATCTAGCAGCAAAAAAACACAACTCTTTTAAAACAAATCGATGGAATAAATGGTGCTGTGGAGATTAGAACTGCTTGAGAAATGCCTCTTATCTGCTTTGAATGCACGGGAATGTTTATCTGGAGCAAAGCCGCATTTAGGAGCGCTTTAAAATATACAAGCACAGAGAAAAATACACTTCAGGGGACGCTGTAATGCATTAGGGGATGGTTAAAGAATCGTCTGTCGGCCTATTTTTAGTCACAAATAACAACAAATAAAGAGATAAATCCACAGGGTCTCACCTTGGCCTCAGGTGGAAACTGATAGAGAGTGAGGTATACTACACCTTCACTGCACTGTGCCATGAAAAATATCTAATTTAAAGTGCCTGTGTGTGCTAAATGTAACCCCCCTGCTCAGGGATCCCTCTGCATGACAGGCATCAGTAATCACTGTTATTTTTCCTACTGGAGAAAAAAAAATCACATTTCATGACAGCTCATAAATTGTTCTGTAGTCTTCTGTCTTTCCCTGGGGTTGTTTAGTCAACATCTTCTTCCATCACTTCTCCCAGCTCATACAAATATAACTCAACACAACATTCATCACTACTTTTTCCACTGAAGGAAACTAAGCTGACTGCATGAGGTCTAATCCCACACTTGGCTAAAACTTTCTCTGTTTCTTTTCACGATAAATGACAATCAACTCTTTAGAGTCAAAGATAATTAGTAGTCCAGGGACATCATTTGGGAGGGTGTTTCTATTCACAGTCCTGTTGACGTTACAGTGCAGACAGACTGCTGGATCTGTGCAGGGAGCTGCTGGAGGCCGGTCCAAAGCACAGTGGTCCATGTGAAGGAGAGAGTCTGTTCCCCTCCCAAATAAAACAAGGGTGTTTAATGGGATGTTCACGCTCTGTTACCTGCCTGACAGGAACAATCTCACTCACTCACCTTGTTTGCCACTCACAGGTCTCTGTATACAGACTGCTAATTAACAGAGCCTCTGAATGCTGCATGAGCAAAATGGGGAAAGGCTCATATTTGGAGAAAGATATTTAGACTTAATTTATATTCCAATTATATCATAAAATATTTCCATTGAGATTTTACAGTTCAAGAAGGCTACAAAAATCATTAGTTATATCTGATTCTTCAAAAAAGAGGAATCAGTCGATTAATGATGACAAAGTGATGTTTTTAAATAAAGAAATGATGAGACTCTTGAGTAGTGCAAATATACACATTTAACAACTTCAATATGAAAAATGAAAACCACTTTGTCTACTGAACTGCGCTTTCAAACAATTTTCTATTCTCTGGGCTGCAGCGGTCCTAAGGATCCAAAAACATTTTTAAAAATTACATAATTCTTCAAAATATGACAACACTGTTGATGGCATCGAGCTTTTCAATTCAATTTTGGACTCATTATGGCTCTGTTGAAATGGATAAGACATTGGATGGAGCAGGTAATGGAGAAAGAGCCACAGACCAGAATAAAACCCAGGCTGTCCATTTGGGGTGTAAATATCATTCATGGGGTGCACTCTTGAGCACGAGGTCAGTGGATTTTTTTTCTTCATTTTTCCTAATTGTTTTCTGAAATGTTATATGTCTTTTGAGCTGTCATACTTGTCTGGAGACCCACGCTGACCCTTATTTTGAGTTTTTACTAAAAGCTCAGACAAGAGAGTGGTAGAGTAAAATAGTTTGGACTTAATGCTCCTATGAAAACCTGTGGTTTATGTAAAAATTTGGCGCTCCTGTGGAAAAAGCAGTCACCTCTTCTATATGCGTCAGTTTTGACTTTTGACTTAAATCTCGTCCTGCTGACTTTTGAAAGTCAAATGTTTTATTTAATATGAATGTTGACCATTGTCGTTGATGGACTTTTTAAGATAATGAAAAGGCATTAAACATGAATCTCAGCCTATCTCATCAACGGCAAAATAAACTCACTGTATTTTTAATAAAAGATATATACAAGGTTAGTCTTGTGTGTGAAAGAGTTTGTATGACAGTTACAATGGTGTCTGACGATAGATGTAGCATGTAGCATGTAGATGTAGCTGTAGCATAGCAAAAGTTAGCAGGTAACTGTTTCCTTTCCCTCTGTGCTTCAATTGAAACCACATACAGACTGTATGCACTGAAGACTGTCTCTAACTCAGTGGTTCTCAATCCAGTCCTCGAGGCCCACTGTCCTGCATGTTTTGGATGTTTCCCTGCTCCAACACACCTGATTCAAATGATGAGCTCGTTATCAAGCTCTGGAATGGCTTAATAACGAGCTGATCATTTGAATCAGGTGTGTTGGAGCAGGGAAACATCCAAAACATGCAGGACAGAGGGCCTCGAGGACTGGACTTGAGAACCACTGCTCTAACTCTTGGTGATAACTAGCACACTGTTACCATATTAACAAAAGTCTTTAAGCATTAAAGTCCAAAGCTGACTAAAGCTGGGTCGAGTAAATTTGCATGACTTTAGATTATATAAAGAATTCAATTGAGAAAAATAAATAAATAAATAAAAGAACGGAATGCAAATGTTTGTTACTCATACTCTACAAAGTTATGCAGATTTTTGCCGGCTGACATTCTTCATCAGTGGATGGTTTAAGAGCTTCTACTTTATGGTTCAAAAAATCTGGTGTAAATCAGGCGTACATCTCTGCATTTCTCTCATAAACTGAACTGTGCAGGACATACTACATACTCAAAGTACTCACTCATACTTTGTGTGAATAGGATAATAGTGTGTGCGCTATGTGATAACTTTACATCCTGTCAATTACAGGCCTTTACATAGTAAGGCATACAAGGCCTTTAGATAGTTTTGGATTGTTATTTAAAGGTACTGTGAGGAACTTTCGGTCTGTTTTTTTATTCGGCGATGCGGACAAATTACTTGTTTGTATGTCTTCGCTGATTCTTTCCTTTATGTTTGAAAGTAGCTTTTAAGAAAGATAATCTTATCTTTCAGTCCTCCGACAGTCAGAAGTATCTTTTACAGAAAATCTTATGGAAAACATTAGAATAGCACCCAGCAGCAGTTTCAGACAATGAAAGTATTAATGTAGACTTACTCTTGATGCCGATGGCCTGGCTGCTTCTGGAGCTCGTAAAAGAGATAACAGTTTTTATTTCAAGTTTGTTTCATAGCTGGCTAAAAACTCCTTACAAGACCTTTTATGTCATCTTGAAATCTCCTGTGTGGAGATTTGACGGAATAGATGCAAAAACATACAAGTTTAAGGTTCGAGATCAACTCATTGTTTTTTCTTCCCTCTCATCAGGTTAGGCAAGGCCTGCAGCTACTGCTGCTGCTGCAGGCTAGGTGAAAAAATAACCTGTGGTACTACTTTCAAAGCAATGATTCATCATTAGGAAAATATCTGAATATTTGCAGAACTTAAGATCAGATATTTTAGTCAGACTACAGCGCCTGTGGGTATACAAGACAAGATCAGCAAAAGATCAGTTGCTTCATTTAAGCGGGGCGCCAAAATTGATGCTGAGTGAAAATTTCATGAGTTAAAACTGAAGTGTTGACTAAATTTCATGGACCCTCATTCATTATAGAGAGAAAACATAAACCTCAGTATCGTGCTTTATGAGGGAGTTGTTTGTCTTTCCAAATTTGCACGAAACAATCTGTTAAAAATTGAGATATTCACGTTTGATTGCTGTTGTTCCATTTTCCTAAAAGCAAAACAAAGTTTTCATGGTGATTTAAATTCAACCTTGTAAAACATGTTGAAGGTTTTGGTCCATCTCATTCTGTGCGTCACATCTCATGACACTTTGACTTCTTTATAAACATGCGAGCGCTCACAGCCAGTTTCTCTGACATGCACAAACCGTGCTCCTGTGACCTTTAACTGAGACCTTTAGCAGTCTCTAAATGCCGCTTTGGGAAAGTCATTTGTTGTCCTCGGCTGTGCTGTCACAGAGGAATGTCACATGTGTCTGACTGTCGATGCCCTGCATGACTCACTTTGCCGCTTAAAATTTTACTGAGGGAAGAAAAAGTTTTGGCCAACATTCTGCTCACTGGAGGTCAGAGGATTTTGTATGTTTTTCTCACCTTTACCACAGAGTTAAATCTGCATATACCTGTGGATGTGCTTGCAAACACAATGCCCCAAAGACCCCTCATGCATACACCAGAGCGTGCTGCCGCTGCATTGCACGAATGAACCAAAGCTACGGAAATTGATTCTCTGGAGCAGCACAGCTCTGAGCTTTACATTTACCTGCATCAGCACCCCTCCTCCTCTTCCAACTTCCACCTCCAACCAACCAAACAGCGGGGTGATTAATAACACCCCCCTCCATTACCCTCTGCACACAGATGGGACGTCAGGTTGAAGGTTGATGGAGAACAGCGCCGTGTGTAGTGTTACACCCCATCATACAGATTAGAGTTTGGACTTTAGACTCCAGCCCCCCTCTCTCCACCTTTACCCTGCCGCCTCGTGTGATTTGTACCCTTCAGGTATCCTTCCAATTCTGCACATGCCATTTGTCACTGCAGGGCCCGGCTGAAGA